GGCTAAGTTAATGAGGACATTTCCAGCCTCCCAAAATATTCCAGTCTTGGTCTGGTATTTCTCTATGGTCAACTAAAAAAAAAAAAAAAAAAAGCAGCCCGTAGGGGAGAGCGTTATCTGCGTGTCCTGCCCAAAGGCGAGGCTGAAAGCTCGCCTCGTTCAAGCAGCCTCCGAGCATGCGGGGAACGGGTTAATTTATCACCTGCGCAGCAATAAGAGATTCATCTCTATTCATCTCTTGAGGAAACTGAGGCACGGGGAGCCCGTGGTCCGTAGGAAAGCACCAGCCCTCAGGCAATCAAAGGGGTACGGTACCGGCCCACCCAAGCCACCCTCCGTTTTGGCTCGCGGGGCCGGCACCGATGATTTATACTGGGTAAGCGGGCAATACCGTGTGAAATGATGGCCGCTTATAGCGGATACCTGCATGCTTGCGGTGAATTATGAGGCGGGGGGTCAGAGGCCACCCTTCTTTAATACCCGTGAACTGCAGGTATCCAGTATAACTGCACCTTTGAAGCGTATTATTGCCGAGGCGAAATGTGTTTCTTTCATTTATTGTTACAGCTGGTTTAAACACGATGTTGGACTCTACCTTTACTGACAAAAGCTTTCTCCTCTCAGATTTCTTTTAAAATATGCAGTAGTGGTATTATTTAGGTTGGAAAGTGTTTAGAAGCTATTATGTTTTGGGGGCAATGACGAGCCCTTTTTGTTTGGCTTAAGTTTAGTACTTTCAAGTGTACTCACGTGGAGTTACAGTGCTGGCATTACGCTGTGTTCATTTTTATGGAGGCAAATAAACGGTAACATATTGTGCTCCTCCCAAAAGAGCCATAGCAAACAGCTCCACTAGGATATCTTTTTTTTTTCCACCTTGCTTTTTCCTTGCCTAAATCCTCCCATCTATAGAGGATGAAGATAGAAAGTGAGAAACTGTGATCTTCCTCCAAAAATCTGGCTGCATTTGGGCCTGCAGTACAGCGTTCCCAGTGACCTTACCTGCTAAGTCTCCTGATTTCGTCAGGAGACGCTCTGCTCTGGCTGCAGTTCTTGCTTTTTCCATTTTCAGCAAATCCCTTACTCTTCTCACATTTCTTGCATCTTCTTCTCCTGATCTGGGGCTTGACTGAATCTGCTACGGTCGGTAGAAGAATTAATTTCGGTGATCCTTGGATGAGAATTGTATTCATCACATAGCTGCTCTTTGAGGCCAGAATAGGAGGGAGGAGACGGCGCGACTCTCCCCGCACGTGTGGCAGCCGTCTGGAAAGTTTGGACTTGCCCCACGACATCCCTTTTACATGAACTTCCCCCCGCCACTGTAGTGGATGCCACCCAGTTTGGCGACTCCGGTAGCGTGATAAACAAGCGCGTCACGTCCACCTTCACAGCGTCCACAGAGATGATCCTGTTGATCCTCCTGGGGAGACAGTATGAGGGCAAGAGAGAGGCTGCTTTTATAAATAGGCTCTCCTCCCTTCGTTACCCATCTGATATCAAGGACTTGCCTCCCTTCTCCTTCGAGGCAAAGGGATCCTCTGTTTACGGTGACTGTCTGTAAATGTGTATGTGTTGAAATGTATATGCTTATGTATCTGTAGGTATAACACTGTGGAAAAGTGCTTGGGTAGCCAAGTGTCGTTAGATGAAAGTAAGTCACAGAAAAGGGAAAGGCAGGCACTAACTTTTTTAGTCAAAGCAAGGTAAAACGTGTCTCGTAGGGCTTCCACTCCTTATACCGTGCATGGGGAAATTTGTGTGGGTTTCTGAAAAGTAAACAAAAACTAGAGATAGATGTATTAAGCATGTGACTAGGAAGAGGAATTTCAGTACTAGTTAGTATTAACGACTCCCTCCCTCTCATCCCCAAAGCATAAGCCAAAACAGTTTCAGAAGATGTCCCATTTTCCAAATTTTCGGCTTTGGCAGGACAAAGGGAAAGGAGCACAGCAGGAGATAAGATACTGCTGCTGCCAAGCATTAAAACATTACCAGCGCTTCCAGAGAGTGGAAAATAGTATCACTATGTGCGACTTTCTGTAAACGACAGTGGCCACGGGCTTCGTTTATACTCCTCTTCGATTTCTTCATCTCTT